CTTTGCTGGCTCCATCCCCTCCTCCAGAACTCTGTACAGTCTGAATGGATGTGGAGATTGCATGAAGGTGCCCCTGGAGACATTCTGCCCACCCAGGGTGTGGAAGTCAGGGTGGCAGAATCCCCAGCAGCAGTGATGTAAGCCACACTGGGACAGGGGCTCTGTGTGCAACCCTGCTCCCCAAACAGCATGCTTTGAACACATGGAGCAAAAGACTGAAGGGGACTCTTGTGATGATGCATTTTTAGTGATGACCATAAATAAGGCACAGGGTAGGAGGCAATATTGAAAGTGTGCAAGGTCCAAACCTTGAAAATGAGCCAGTTTACAAAAGCAAGACAACTTGTTTTCTGGTTTCTAGACTCTTTAATGGAGACCAATAAAAGAAATCTACTGTAGCTTCTGACAGCAATTCCATGAGCTTACTCAGAAGCAATCAAGCAACGCAGCTTCCAGGTCTACCCCATAATCTGTATGTTAACCTAAAAAACGAAACAAAACAGCTGCTCTACACTAAATCTTAACTACAGCATGACTTCATTTTAAACCGATGTAACTTTTAGTCAGTTCTCATTTGAACTGACAGTGAATATCTTTGCCAGAGTGAAGTAACAGAGGAGGAACTATAGACTGTTTTGCTTTTTCCCAGACACACATCTTTCTCTCTTTCTCCCACCCCCCACTTTTAAATGAGCTTTTCAATAGCAGAACAAAAATTAAGCAAAGAGATTTAACAGGCAATGACATGCTGTGGTTTTTTGACAGTACTTTACATCTGGGCTCCCTCTGTTGTGGGTCCATGTGGGATAGTTAGCAGGAGAGGTTTCAGATGCTGTTCAGTTGTAAGTTTTGTTGAACCAGTCACTGAATTGTAGGGGAAGAACTAAGCACTACAGTGGTACCTCGGGTTAAGAACTTAATTCATTCTGGAGGTCCGTTCTTAACTTGAAACTGTTCTTAACCTGAGGTACCACTTTAGCTAATGGGGCCTCCCACTGCCGCCGTGCGATTTCTGTTCTCATCCTGAAGCAAATTTCTTAACCCGAGGTACTATTTCTGGGTTAGTGGAGTCTGTAATCTGAAGCGTCTGTAACCTGAAGCATCTGTAACCTGAAGTACCACTGTACTGGCTAGAAAGACAAGCTATTGCCCAGACTGAGACACAGTGCTTAATTTCTAAAACAATAGGTGCCGGATCTCAAACCTCCCTGGAGGTCATACTCTCTTCCTCAAACCTCTTAATTCCAAATGAGGTTGATGGTGTGGAAACTCAGAGGAAAATAGAGGTGACATGTTAGAAAGCCCTGTCATGTGGTGGTTCAGCTATCTGTTATTCGCTCACACTCAAGAGACATTCTTTTCTTTAGTATAACTTCACATGTTCTTCTACGATCAAAACCTTGCCTTAAAGCAGGTGTGGGGAGCCTAAGGCCCAGGGGCTGTACATGGCCCTCTAGACTTCTTTAGCTGGCCCTTGAAACCCTTCCCAGGGTACCCCACTCTTCCCAGGTGTCAGGCTTCAGGGAATCCAATCCCTCCCATGGTGGCAGCCAAGAAGCAGGTAAACAAAAAAAGTTCTTACCAAGTAATTTATTCACTATGCACAGAGAGAGATGAAGGAACGCAATCTCCCGAAGATAGTGGCATTGCTCCGATTAAAGTCCCACCCCCTCCACCTCTCCTATTCTACGTCACCCCTGCCTTGGCTAATCTGAGCTTTCTGCCTCTGAGCTTTCTGTTCTACTACTCTCAATGCTCGCCTGGTCCTGGGAGGGATGGGTCAGGAATGCTTTCCAAAGACAGAGTCAGTCAGCTGTCTCTCCCCTGGTGCTTCTTCTTCCTGCTGTTCTCTCCCAATATTTCCCAGCTTCTCCCCTCTGCAGCCTCTGAACTATGCCCTTCTGCAAACCACTGTTCTAAATCTATACTGTCCTCCTGTTCTCGGGAAGGTTCAGGAAAAGGAGGGGCGGTCCCCACCATTCTTCCTCAGTCCAGCCCCTGACACCAGGGCACACTGAGCCTTCTTTGCACTCCCAAATTCTGGCTGGAATATGTCATTGAATTTTGATACTGTCTGTTGCTTACCTGGAGGGAGGACAGACAGACTTGTGTATGTGAAGAAACTAGCCTATTGCACAAAGGTAAAATTTACATTAGTTGCTCCTCCCACTTTTGTCTCTGGCGCCACCCATCACAGATGTGTGGCCCTTGGAAGATTGGCTACAAGGAAATGTGGCCCTCAGGCAGAAAAAGATTTCCCACTCTTGTCTTACAACAAGATTCCAGGCAGAGGTGGCTCCAGGAGAGCGTGACTGGTGTGGTTGCACTGGGCACAGGGTTTCTTGGGGTGCCAGAGCAGACTCCGCCTACCTTACTCCAAGGGAAGGCAGGTGGGGGACCAGATTATGACATCACACAGGGCACCACTGAAATGGTCCTACGGGACCGCCTCTCCCGGTATGCCCCACAGAGGACCTTAAGGTCCATAAATAGCAACACCCTAGAGGTCCCAGGCCCTAAGGAAGTCAGATTAACCTCAACCAGAGCCAGGGCCTTTTCAACACTGGCTCCAGCCTGGTGGAACGCTCTGTCTCATGAGACCAGGGCCCTGCAGGATCTGATTTCTTTCCACAGGGCCTGTAAGACAGAGTTGTTCTGCCTGGCCTTTGGCTTAGAATCAACTTGATCCCCTCCTCCTCTTTCCTTTTTCCTTTCTTCTTCTGTGATGGAACTCCTATTTGGGGACTTCCCTGGCTTTTTTCTGGCCCATGTAGGACCAGTCTGGATAGTTGGCCTTGGTGAAGACTTGACATTTTCATCCCCAAAAAAGTCTTTGATTTGAGTTTCTACTGAAATGAGGCTGCATTTTAATGTTGTATTTTAATCTTGTTTTTAAGTTGTATTTTAATCAATTGTTTTTATACCTGGTGTTAGCCGCCCTGAGCCCTGTCTTGGCTGGGGAGGATGGGGTATAAATAAAATTATTTATTATTCTTAAATGTGAGATGCAAAGGTTCACCACTGTTCCAGGACTGGGTCATACGAGCAGCCATTTCACAATATTTTCTGTTATGAATCAATTTGAACAGTTTGGGTATAAATTCCAAAATATGTGCGAGATTGAGATATCCAGATCTGATCATCTTGCCATGAAAATATACTTGTGGTTCAAACAAAAACAGCCTTAGGACCACTCTGCTGCTTTGGCCTCTAAGCTGCTCCAAGACACTTTCCAATACAGGGCAGGTTAAATAAAATCTCTGTGGGGTACCAAAAAATGGCCCATAAAGCTATAGTATGCAAGCCTTGCAACAAAATAATATAGCACACACACTATTTCCTCTTCTGCCATCAGTAATGATGGGCTGTATTCTTCCATAGATCTGCCCCATCAAACAATAATAGATTGTTGCCGTTCTAGTAAGAGACATTCAATTCCTTGTTAATAGGTTACCCAAATGTAAGCAATTTTACTGCTGGGGTGTAAGCAACTTTCTTAAGGATGGAATGTGAAAGGATTTTGTGGGTTTTCACAGATGCCAGTAAACACTGTCTTGCTTGTAATGCTTGTGATTTGTGGATGGAAACTTTTCTGGGGCAAATTCAATAGCGAAAAAACACGCAGAACACACCCACTAACTTACAAGTGAGGGGTTTTTTTAAGTTAATCATGATTCTTAGAAGCCTTTTAAAAGTTCTTTTTGGTGACTAATGGGCCAGGAGTCACTGCGGTGACAAATAATAATCATATTGCACCCTGCCAAAGTGTGGATTAGTACTATTGGATGTAAGAAGGTGCATACATGCATTGACGTGAAAAGAAACCCACCCTTTTTAAATATAAAAAAACTTTTGTAAAAAAGATCCCTTTCAGCAAACTTGTTTCCTGTTTTTCACAGTTATGACTGTAGATTGCTGAAATGCAGATTAATGAAGTGCTAATAAATTTGGAGTAGCGTTTTTAAATTTAATTAGGGGCTTAACTTTATTAAGGGATGCCACTGATGCATACATTTTTAAAGGATCATTTATTTATTTTGTGAAAACAAACATCCAGGATGGCTTTATATTTGGTTATGAAAGGCAGACTCCTTCGTGCTAAATGCTTTTCTGGAGTTTTCCATTTGTGTATCATCATTGACAGAGGCAGTTATCACACACTTGACAAAATAGGAAGCTACTCTCTTCAGTCTGCCCACAAGTATTCCTCTCGTTTTCAAGATATGGTTATTAGCCATGGTGCCATGTCTTCATCCACTGCACCTCAATATGCATTTGGACCTTGGTTAATACACCTTGGCAGGGGCAAAGGAAGGTGAAGAAAGCCGTGAGCAGAGCATCCCGGCACCGTCCGTATGGCACTGGAGCATTGCCAGCGGCAAACCACTATACAGTGCATACATAGCACACTGCACATGCACCCTATGCTGTGACGCCCACCCCGGGTGTCACGATGCCTTCCTTCGCCCCTGCCAAGGTGTATTAACCAAGGTCCAAATGCATATTGTGGTGGTGTGTACGACACACATGCGCTGTACTTAGTGGTTTGCTGCCGGCACCGAGATTCTCTGCTCGCAGCTGTAGCCACGAACGGAGGATCCTCCAAAGGCAGCTGCGGCGGCGCAATAGCTGCTCGCTCCGCCGCAAGCCCCTGCGGGGTGACTTCTTGTCACCCCTGCAGACATGGAACCCAGGGCGTACCGCCCCCCATACACCCCGCCCCCCATACGCCACTGTACCTTGGGTCATTCTTCGAGAAGATGGTTCGGCAAGCTAAGGCCTGTGGGCCAGATCAGACCCAATTGCTTTCTAGATACGGCCTGCAGACGGTCCGGGAATCACCGCACCAATCGCCAGCACGTGCGTTCTTTCCCTCTCCCTCACATGGCGGCGCTTTTCTCCTCAGGGACAGAGCAATCTTGTTCCATGCGGGGCGCCATCAACAGCAGGAGTCGGCTTGCCCACCTGCCAGCAGGGCGGTGCTGTGAAGGGGGCGTGTGTCACTGGCTGCGTTTTCCTCCTACTCCTCCTTCCTCTCCCTCAGTCCACCCTTCCTTCCTTCTCTGCGCCCCTTTTCTGCCCCGCTTCCTTGTGTGCTTTCTTCCTCGCCACCTGCCTCCTTCATTCCTCCCATGGTATTCAGGCAGGTTGTTGCGGCCGCCGCAGCCGCTGCTTGAGGGTTGGCAGGCGGCTCTGTCTTCTTCTCCGTGGTGCCTCTTAGGCAGCAGCAGCAGCAGCAGCAGGTGGTGAGGAAAACTCTGACGACGCCCCGGTTCCCCTGCCTCCATCCACGACTCCTCCGCTGGGGCTGCTGCTTCTGTCTTCACTGGCCAATGCAGCCTCCTACCCTGCCACAGCACCTGGCTGGCTGGAGAAGCCCAACTGCAGCTATTGGGACAACAACTGGGACAGGTTAAGTGAAGCATCTTCAGGCCTCTTTGAGGGCAGGCGAAAATTGTTCATTTTTTCTTCTTCAAAATATAGTCCGGCCCCCCATAAGGTCTGAGGAACAGTGGACCGGCCTCCTGCTGAAAAAGTTTGCTGACCCCTGTTCAGGCATAGGCAAACTCGGCCTTCCAGATGTTTTGGGACTACAACTCCCATCATCCCTAGCTAACAGGACCAGTGGTCAGGGATGATGGGAACTGTAGTCTCAAAACATCTAGAGGGCCAAGTTTGCCTATTCCTGTTCTAGATGAAGGATGGGAAGCCAGTGGCCTTTAATATGTTATTGGTCTATATTCCCCATCATCCCTGAACATTGGCCATGCCCAACAACATCAGGAGTGCCAAAGATTTCCCATCCCTGTTCTCACCACCCACGATGGTGTAGGAGCAGGCAAGCATTTCAGTTTTGCCAACCTCAGTTGGTTCAATTAATAATGTTCCAAATCTATTTTATATCTGCCTTTTGAGTTCAGTGCATATAGAAACAGTAAATGCAAAACAACACTGATATTTAAACACAAGTGGTGGGGTGAGCATAAATGCCACTGTTTCATCTGAAGAGTAACTATACAGGCATATTATTATTTAGTGATGGAGGAAATGAAATAGAAAGTAAAGAGGAACTATCTAAGTACCATTTTCTCATTTTTCATATGACAATGGTGAATAAATGCACTAAAAGTCCATGGAGAAACTGATACAAAATGGGGCCCAGCTTGAAGATCCCTAATTGTTATCCACTATTTAATTTCAAACACATTAATGCCATCAAGATGTTTGTTTGACCACCCGCAACTCACAATGAAATTGAAGTGGGGCTATATTTTCTACTTAAAAATTGACACAGATACAAAGCCAAGATAAGTACAGCAGTGTGACTGTACAGTGTACATTTCTGAATACTACTCGGCTTTTTAAAGGAACCACTAATATCAAATAAAGTATAGAAAATAGTAAGCATTTAACATGTCCCCCAGGTTTGCAATAAATATCTAGTTAAAAAGGATTAGCTGAGAATGTACTATTTGTTTAATATGACTGCCAAGCATGTCTTATCCTGTTTGGAAGATTATCCCAGTACCCAGCTAGTATCTGCTGTTAAGTCTGGGTGAATTTTAAATGGAAAATACTTATTGCTGACTTCACCTCAGAGAGCTGTTTGGTCTAATGTAAATGTACAGCAGAACTGTTTACATTTCCTAGCTGTTCTTTCTCTCCTCTGTTTACTGAATATGACAGCTTTAAGTAGACCTAAAGTGGATAATATTTTTAATGGCATTGCTGCAACAATTCCATCTTTCCACGTGGCCCGTCTTTGCTGCTACACCCAAGAAAATAACTATATCACTGGCAGGTAGCTATCATTTTTTGCTGTGTAACAAATACAACAGAAAGACATGCCATGATTGCAGTCATCAAGCAATTCCTTCCAACGTGGTCATATTCCAATAAATGGGACGACCATAGGATTACAATGCAATAAGAGGGAGTCGGTTGTTAGGGGTTGCTCTTCCCAAATTCTGACTAATAGGATTTATGTACACAGACTCTGATTTGCCTTCCAAAGCCCTGAAAGCTTTTTGTGAAAAGTCTACTGTGTGCTGAGATAAGGATCAAGTGAAACACAAATTTTCCTTCCTAAATTCCTCTAACTTACTGTCTATTGCAGACCCCATCAAGCACTATGGATTTCAACAAACCTGAAGAAGGAATAGACATGGGGAAGAGAGATGTCAGAGCTAGGATGATAGGCATTAAATAATTCATTGGTCCTACGCTTGGCCAAGATCTCTTGGCTGAATTGATTCTGCATGCCTTAAGACTCAAGGCATGCACAGGCAGAACAGCTTCAGTTGTGCTTCGCTGTAAAGAAAGGTCTTCTTTGAGGCAATGTCAGCTTTCAGGTCATTGCTGCCACCTGCAAGCACTTTCCTACTGAGGCTATGACTCGTGGGATGAAATTGCCGTAATATTTTATCTTGATTGCCATAGAATCGTGGAACTGGAAGGGACCCTGAGGATCATCTAGTCCAACCCCTGCAATGCAAGAATAAGCAGCTATCCCATATGGGGATCAAACCTGCAACCTTGGTGTTATCAGCACCATGCTCTAACCAAATGAGCTATCCAATTGGTTAGAGCATAATGATAAACCGTAACTTATTGGATTGTGCAAATGCAGCCTTTGTGCTTGCCATAATTTGCAGTTTGCAATGTTATTACTAAGGCTACAATTTTAATGGATTTGGTCAAGTAAGGGTAAACACTGAAACCATTTCAAGCATTTGAAATGCTAAATGAGTGTTAGGGGTTTACATCTTTGGGGAGCTATTTTGCTTCTGGTGTGTTCCTGTTGGACACAATGAAAAAAATAAGACAGCCTTTTTATTTAACGTGTAGTAACTTTTCATGTTGAATTATCTCCATTGCCCTAAATTAGGCACAAAATCATTGAAAATTTGAAGATTTTATATAAACTGAACACATTGATAATTAACTAGTTAAAAATATGGAGCAATTCAGCAACTGAAGCTAAAGCTAACAACCCTAATAATAATTAAAACATTAGCAAGGAGTGGAAGGTCTCTGAAATATGGAGCAACCCTTAAAAAGCAAAGATCTGGGTTTTTGAAATACAAAACCTCCTCCGTACTCCCAATTCACCACACCTTATTTTCCTTGCCACTGTAAAAGATGTAAGCTTTTGTATTAATTTGCCTTCAGACTTATTTATGACAAATCTAATAATGATAATAATAATAATAATAATAATAATAATAATAATAATAATAATTTTATTATTTATACTCCACCCATCTGTCTGGGTTTCCCCAGCCACTCTGGGCAGCTTACGGCAAATTTAACAATAAATGCAGCAGTTCAGAATTTAGAAAAGGTAGGAACAATCACCCAACCACACACGCACATTAAGAGAACACTTTTGGACGCAGTCCTTGTCACTTGGCTGTTGTTTCTCTTGCACAGCAATCCCACACATGTTTACTCAGACGTCCTACTATGGCTGAGGTAGAAGTACTTCATATCCTTTTCTGGGAAACGGCTCCACTGAAGACAATGGGATTTACTTCTGCATAAATATGCAGAAAGATATGTTTTATTTCTATTGCCATAAGCTGGGGATGGGGAGCTTTGGGCCTAGGGGCCAAATGTCTGGCCCTCAGGATTCTCCCTAGTCCTGGTTTGCACCCTCCTGGAATGTTTTCGCCTGGCTAGAACGTATTCTTGAACTCCAGTAGTGCTTCTGGCTTCACTGGATGCTCCACCCATTTCTACTCCTGGCCCTGCCCCCGGGCATGTGGTCCCCAGAAGGCAACCTGGAAGCGCAGGCAACCCTTAGGCTGAAAAATGTTCCCCACTCCTGCCAGAAGCCATAACAAAAATGCAATACTAAAATGCCATCATTACTAAAGAACGCATAGTGTTATATTTTTAAAAGGTCACATACATTATTAATATAACAACCTTTTCTTTTCTTTTCTTTTCTTTTTAAAAAAGAGGAATATCAGTCATGAAACCCATTGTCAGCTGCATGCAGAGCATATTATCCTGACTTTTAGCAGCAACCCAAGCACATTTCGCTCTGAAGTCCTAAGAATCTCTTTGTTCTCCCCTGGCCAAAGAGTAGCCAATTTGCCGCAATTCTCGCAGCATTGTTTCCCTTCTATATAAGGATCTTTTTGCAGGCTGATAATGATCTTGAACAATGAAGAACATTCAGCAGGGAACATCCTCTTCCCACAAAGTCAGAAACAGATATGACCACGTAACAAACTTTATTGAAGTAACCGTTACTAACAACTGATGACTTCTGCTGCGTTCTCAGTCGGGTAAAATGTGCTTCTCGGATTGCAGTCCTAGACTTACTTCTGTGGGAGTTTCTTTGAGTTCACTGGGTCTTACATCTCAATAGATGTGTATGGAATTGCAGTGCAAGTGTAAAATTAGTTAAAGCTAACCAACAGCGCTCAAGTGCATGTGTACACTTGCAGAGGATTGCACTGGAACAAAAGCTACCTGGGCTACCGGAGCTGGTGCTAATGGAGGCTTGCCACTGGGGATGGCCATAGAAAACTCAATGGATGCGTATGTCCCTCTGGTGGTGGGGGAAGGCATTGGGGAGTATGTTGTGAGAGGCAATGGGTCTGCAAGTTTCTCAGCCCCCTTTCCGCCCCCACCAGCCCTCTCTAAATTGCTCAAAACTCTAGTAAACTGGCTGCAGCCAAAAAGCAGGTGTTTGTGTGTGAACGATGCTCCAGCACAGAATCTCCCTCCACCTCCTTGCTCTCTTGCTCTCTTGCCTTGCTCTCTTTGTGTACTAAGCATTCAATTCAGTCACAAACCCTGTAGGTTTTGCTCTGTATGTATGCACCATGTGTGTCATGTAGATAACACATTTTACCTACAGAAAGATTCCAACGATCTTGCTCCATTTTCCTTTCTTTTTTCATTTTGCAACTCTTCCTGAAGCTCTCTGCACAAAGGATCCATGAAGTTTCATATTTCACTGGTGAGGGGAATCCGTTAAAACTAAGAGTAGTACAGAATGCGTGCAGGGGAAGTTCTGTTTTCCATAATGAACAGAGAAGAGTCTGACGTGACTTTATATGAGTAGGAGAAACCGGGACCCCAGCCTTCCACTTGCAGATTTTTCTCTTAGCTGTCTTGAGAGCTTTTAATGTAGAATATTATTTTCTGTCTGAAGTGTCTCCAGTGTAATTTTTCAGCACCCAAAAATCATTCCTCCCCTTCTCTCCTGGTAACAGAAAGCTGAGTTGTGTTTCTAGGCACTGCTTATAGAAAAATTCAGGAAGCTGATTAA